ATGTGGAACCTCATATATCAAACTAATAAAATTCGCTCAGCCATGTAAGCCACCTTAAAAATAAAAAAAAAAAAAAAATATCTGGTAATCTATATATCTTCTAATACAAGCATCTAAAAAATTAGAAAGAAAAGATTAGTTTAATTATTTCAAATATTAAATAAAAATAAAAAAAACCTAGTTCTAAATTTATACTACTTTAATATATCCAGCCTTGTTCTTCTATATCTTTTAACTATTCTTGACTACAAATTAATATTTCAATAGTTTCTAGATTAAGATTTGATCAGTAATTATTAACAATTCTTTCTGCTATACTAAATATCTAAATAAATAAATATATTAACTTTAGTTAATTCATATTTGAGTAATGCTAAAAGAAAATAAGACCTTAATCATATTAAATTTATATAATCAAAATTCTATTTTCTCTTAGCATTACTTATTTACAGCTATTTTTATAAATTCTGAGACACTTAAAAATTTATTCATTTCCTGAAATCTCTTTAGTTTTGTTCTGTAAATTATCTAACTTTTTAGAAACTACATCATTGTCTTCAGAACTTTGGTCCAGAGATAGCAATATAGTTTCCAAAGAGTTGGATAATTCATAGAACAAAACTGAAGAAATTTTGAAAAATAAATAAATTTTTAAGTATCCCAGAATTTATGAAAATAGCTGTAAAAGAAATTTATTTACTAATTTAGAAGCTACAGAGGTTACAAAAATCACAAGAATATCTCTTGCCATGTATGCTACAGATAGATACCTTTGCTTATTTTTCTTCTACCAGTTTAAAATATTAAATAATTCTGTGCAAGAATGGAGGTGAAGTAGATCAGTAAGATATCATTCAAGCTCATCCATTTTATTAACTACACTAATTTAAATTGCTACAAAGTATCTGTTGAAGTCTTGTATTAATTTATCATCTTGTGAATTAAAATTAGAATAACCATAACAATTATTAGAAGCATTCATAACTTGAATATATGTTGATCTATAAATCATCATAGCTCTGTATAAAATAAATAGTTACTAAATTAAAATAGACCTTATATTTAAAAATAATATACTGAGTTAATTACCTTCTTTTAATAAAATCAAGCTTGTTCTCAGCTTCAGTAGATAACAAATGCATCTTATACTTAAAAATATGAGTTAGCAATAATATTTAATAATGTAGATCTATTATTGATGCAATGTAATACAAATCACTAGTATCTGCTCAGTATTTATTAAACTTAGATTCTATTAGTACAATCATTTAACAAATAAAAGGATCTAAATTAGTAATATTTTGCTTAAGATATAACTTAATTTTTATAAGATAAGGAAAAAAAATATTTGCTGTTAGATATATGCTTCCTGATATGATATTTGTTTTTTTTTTATTATTATTAAGGCAGTTTACATTGCCAAAGGAATTTTATTAGAATTGTATACAGGATATACATTGATAGTCCCTACTGTTTGTAATTATATGAAGAGTGTACAACAAGCTACATGTACAACTTTAGTTATTGTTTAATTTAAGTAGTCCGCTACACAGGTGATTAGACTACATGATTAGTTCTATATTATGCTACCATACCTGTAACCTGCCTATGAGTTATCTATTTAAACACTCTGTTTATTAATTCATACAGATCCAACCTAATGTCACTACAACACCTAACCACTTAAGCCAGCTAGCTCGTTACGAATCTATTTATTCAGAACAGCTTAGGTCCTCTCAGGATACATTGTACTTAACATATTGTAGATACCGTAGAGCCAGTTAACCTTGAAGCATACCTACTAGAGTGGTCTGTACCTATTTTACAAATTCACCTAGCTTAGACTCTTGTAAATGTTCATACAACTCCAGTTCCTACCGTAGCTCTCCACCAGTTTTCTGTATCTATCTTCTTGAATATTTTACGAAGCAGATCCTCCTAATCCAGTTAGCCACCAAACCAGGTTGGTATTACCAATCCTCCCTGTAGAACAGATTTATGTGCACCTGACTCAATCTACATCTTTCATCAATAGTTTCTTTTCTGGATTAAGTGTTAGCCAGTGTGACTGTCAAAGGCCATACTACTTCACCAATTCAGGATTTCTACTATGCAGGTCCCCTGCCTATAGATCCTATCAAGATTTATTCATGTAATGTTACATCTCACTAGACACCTCGTCACACTTCTAATATCCGGATAATATTGGTGCAATGTGATTTACAGGATTACAACTCCAGAAACAGACAAGGTTTACCGTAAGTTAGGTACAAAGGTCCGAGTAATTATTCAAATTCGTCAACAGTGAGATTTGAACCCCAGATCTCTTGCATAGCAGTCTGGCAACCTAACCACTACACTAAAATTACCAGACCTGCAAATTTTTTTTTTTATAAATATATTATATAAATATATAAATATAAATATATTTATTAAATTGCAAGTTAATATATAAAATTTTAAGTTATTATATTTTAATTCAAATATATCAGGTTAGTATATCATATTTAATAAGATTATCAATAGTTATATACTTATTATATAACTATATAAAATAATTATCTATATATATACTAATTAAAATATTTAATAAAATTCTGCTAAAACCATACTGTATAAATTAAATTGGTTTTTATATCCGACCAGATCAAAGTTTAAAAACTTTTAAAAAAAAAAATTTTATATGTTTTAATAACCAAATAGGTTTTTGTAAAAAAATTTGATAATATTTTATAAAATTTTTAAAAAAAAAACTGGCCGGCCGAGTCTGATTTAAAATTTCATGTTATAAAAACCAAGTAATTAAATTTGTATAACCTAACTAAAATAACTAAATATCAAAAAAAAAAAAAAAAAAAAAAAAAAAGATATAAATTTGATTATTAAATAATATATATATTTTTTTCCAATTTCTACTTAATCTATACTATGTTCTATAAATAAAAATTTCTTATAAATATACAATTTGTTGTACTTATAAAAGTTTAACAATATTAAAACAATAAAAAAATAAATTTGCTAAATTCATTACTCTTGTTTGAGTTTCAAGTATTTATATAAAAATCAGCAAGTATTGCACAAATAAACGTTTATATTTGTAGAAATAAGTCTAAGTAATTTACAGATCTTTAGAGTCCATTTCTGTTAATATTTTTTTAAATATTTTTTTGCCTGGTTTAGTACCGCCATCTATTACAAAACCTATCCATTGTGCGACAACATCAAAGACGTATTTTTCCATAAATAGTGATATAAGAAAATCAGCTACTACAATAGCCAATAGATACCATCGAAATACGTAATCAATGTTCTCAAGTTCTAGTAGGTCTAGAACAGTTTTGGAGGAAGATATAAGGATTACTGCCGTGAAGAGAGCAAAAAACGTCGTTGTGATAATAAATGGAACTATTCAATAGAAATAATGAATAATGAGATTGTAGGACTCTTTGAAACAGATACAATGATAAATTAATTTATAGTACCATTCGTGATCATCGGTTTTCTATATGGAGGTCCAACACTAAACACCGCTGCGATAATAACGTACTGAAAACAAGATAACAAAAATAGTATCGAATTGTCAAAATTTTTTATTTCTGTTTCATCCGGATTAAAGGTTGGTTTTCGATACCTAGAGTAGGTTTGAGAATATAATAAACTTTAAACATCTCGAAAAAAATGAAATTTGATATACTAAAAACTTACCATGGCTGCTGGTGTATAATTACGAGAACTAAGAATTGAATTCCTGACTGGATTATAATTTGCCCAATCACTGATATTAGCACCTTCTTGGAGACCAAACTCGCAGTTGGACGTTTAGGATGTATGCGTGGGAATGGTTCCGTGCGACCCACTAGATAACAAGTATAAATCAACAAAGAACTTTATACAGAACAAAAAAATAGATGGTCCTTACTTAGAACTGCAATAGGTAAAATTAAGAATAAATCTATATAAAGAAACTAATAAAAGAAATACTGATAAGGAATAATTTCACATGATTCTTACTGAATTTATAAATCTGATCTCACCTGAAGATTTCCTAAATTGGATCCATAATAATACAATATACTGACTGTTGTAAATTGAATTATGCTATACAGAGCCATATATTTGAAACAACTGAAGCTTGTGACTAAGGCTGCTCGACCTTCTCTATTATAATAAAACAAAGAATTTTTCTTAGAACATATAACAAAAAGAAGAATTTTTAAGTTTTATATCATACTTTATAACGTCTATAACACAGCCTATATCCATATTACGACTAGTAAATGGAGCTGCCACGGATGCTTCAGCATCAGAAAGTGACAACCCAACATCCGCTGCTTTAAGGGCCCCACAATCATTGGCACCATCACCACAGAAACCAACACAATATCCTATTTCCTGTAGTTTCTCTACTAATTCATGTTTCTCGTCTGGTGACATACGAGCAAAAATTTGGCCCTTGACAAGCATCTACAGAACGTTTGAAATATTCTCAAAATTAATAAAATGTTATTTGTGCTGACTATTATAACTACATAAATATATACCCTAGACAATGTCATTTCATCTCCATAATCTACAATCCAACGGAAGACATCGCCAGTTACAGCAAGGTCATATTCATAAGGACCAACAAATGGATATTCGCTAGGAAAATCATGTGATGTAGAGATAATCTGCTATGTAATAATAAACCATCATTTAGTTCCTGTGTAAACTTTAAAAAGAAACATTTAAGTAAAAATAAATACCTTTAACGTTGTTGAATCCAATGAATCCTTTGGGTTATCCAAACTCTCCCATAAAATGGAAGATCGTGAGCTTAAAGAAGATCCTTGAACAAACCTCGGTACATAAACTTTTGAGGCTTTATTAACCAATCCACATTCACGAGAAACACTTATTGCGGTCAAAACATTATCACCTAGATGATATACGAATAAATATAATTTATCAGACTAGTGCTCAAAGATATCCGATTGTGAAAATGAAAATAGTATTCACCGGTACACATTATCTGTCTTATTTTAGCTCTTTTGAGAGTTTCAACTATTGAGGCTGTACCAGGCTTCAATTTGTTCTCGAATATTATAATACCTATAAATTCTAAATCTTGTTCTACATGTTCCCTTTATAACAGACATATATATATAACATTAAAAAAAACCCCCGCATAAAAAAACCGCGATGAAATTTTTTAGCATTTACTTATTAATCTAACCTTTTGATCTTCTGAGCTTTCATCCAACTGAGATCAGAAAAACTCTTAGAAGCGCATGCAATCACACGAAAGCCATTATGTGTGTAATAATGTAATAATTGATCGTAATCCTCTGGAACTACAAGACAACATAACATTAATATATTAAGTCGAAACTTTATTATAATGCATGAATTTATATTGCTCACAGGAATCAGCTCTACAAATATCGCGCATTACTTCCGGCGCTCCTTTAACATAAACTTCAATAGTTTGATTTCTCAAGCGCTTTACTAGCACGCTCATACGTCGTAATGATGAAACAAATTCGAATGTTCGAATTATTCCAAGTTCTATAAACGATCCAGACTATAAATAGATTTAATTAATTTTATTATTAATTGAAACTCTAGATTGGGAGAAGATAAATATTTACCTTCCCATCGCCATTTTTTCCATCAACATTGAGTACTTCTGCCAAATCAAATTGTCGACTATTAGGCGGTCTAACCACTGTTGGTACTATGCCACCATTTCCATTAGTTGGACTATTTGGTCTCCCGGAGGATGTTGAACCAGACAATCCTAATGTATTGGATGAAACACCCTGTCCACTTTCTTCAAGTATCCATTTCGTGAAATCAAACATTTTCAAATCAAGTGGATCACCAATTAGCTCACCATTGACTGATTTGAGGGAATGGCATGTAGTCATAGCACATAAAATTGGTGGAATAGAATTAATAGTCATGTCATTATCGCTTTTAGAGAGAGTGTCGGCTGTAGTATGAAGTTCCGTGAACCTACTCAAAAGTGGAATTAACTTTCATTCTAGGAAAAATATCTAATAGAAAATAAAGGAATTCTAACCTGTGTGACGTTTGGTTGACAAAACGAACCCCTAGAACGTCTAGTCCATCTTCTGTGAGCGTGCCTGTTTTATCAAAGCACATGGCATTCAATTTTCCTCCAACATTAACTCTATAATCGTATGTGTAAATATATACGCACTTCAAAATTTTCGAAACATTGCATGCGTATTGTAGAAAATTAATTACCTTGTTGGGCTAATACAAAATATTCCTTCTTTTTTTAATCTCCCAATAGCAAAATTTGTACCAATACTCATTGTTGCGGGTAATGCAGGAGGAACAACAATGGTAATTAAGTCCAATGCACGCACAATTATTATAACGGAATTTACCCCCAATCTAATGAAATTATAAGTACTAATCAAAAAACCAATTATGGCTAAAAAAAAAAAAAAAAAGAAGTCAATAACAACATTTGTTAGTAGACTAAACAAACATATAAAGTATAAAACAAAATAATTCATATTCTACCAATTATAGCTAAAACACCGATGAAACGAAATGAGTCGCGATAAAATTTAAATTTATGCGGCTTTGGAAATAGCATCGATCTTATCAAAGAACCTTTAGTTGTATTAAATCCTATGATGAAAGTCAAAAAAAAAAAAATAATAAATAAATTTCTATTTTGATACTATTTCAATTCGTTAAGTAAAGGCAAACTTGCCTGTACGTACGACCATTGCTAAAGCTCCGTCATCATCAGATATGTTACCAACATCTGCACTAGATGTTATAATGCCATTCTTGACTTTACGCACTCGTACGATTTTCGTTCCAGAAAATAAAAAATGTTTGGAAACTTCCGGTCGAACGTTGGTAGTAGTTAAATCCAAAGAATGCAGTGATGTATCTTCGATAGGCAATTTAGACACAGGAATAGATTCTCCTAAATAATTTTCGAATTTTGTATTTAACTCAATATTTAAATGTGCTTTTTTGAAAAAGTAAAGTCTCTTACCGGTAAGCATGCTTTCATTTACAATGCAATCGCCTGACAATAAAACGGCATCACAAGGAAAAATATGTAAATATCTGTCAGATACTTCAAACACATCTCCAGGCACTAAATCTTCCGATGAGACGTATCTCCCTATTACAAAAAGTCCGGAGAATTTATTCAATATTTCTAGAGCTCATTAAAACTTCCATGAAAAACACTACATGAACTTACAGAGATTATTACGGAATATTCGTACATTACAAACAAATTTTGACATTTCACGAAGTCTCTTCATAGTCTAAATTATGATGATTGATTATTAACATACAAATAATAATTCAAATATAAATAATAAATTATTAACCTGTTTTATTTCTATCAGTGTAGTAATAATACTAGTCACAGATATGATAAATATGCATGCAGCATAGTAATAATACTCGTCAAAACACCAAAGTACTATTGAAAAGACTTGAAAGATATAAAACGGATGTAAAGCCTTTAAATATGTTAAAGTTATTTATGTAAATATGTTGAGACAATACATTCGATATCAAAATGATATTGATATATGCCAAACCTCTTCAATTAAAAGTTGGACCGTAGACTTTTCTTTAATATCAATCAAATTCTGGCCAAAGATAATTTCACGCTCATTATGAGTTTCACGATTAATTCCTTTTTTCAAAAATTCAACGGATACCCATGCTGGATCTTTCCAAAGGCTGAAATTCAAAGAGGGCAAATTTAGAATACAGAAAGTAACAATAAACCAAAAAAAATAGAATAGTTCATGTGCCCACTTATTCTGTGTGAATTGTCCTAATATAGGGTTGTAAATGAATCGAATAGACCGATGATCAAAAAAGTGCAGGTTATGCAAAGTATCATCTGGAGCAAGTCCCGAAACGTTATTGTCGTCAAGATTATCAACTGAAAAGACAGAAGATATGGTTCCACCGTAATATTTACGTATTATATATTCAATTGATATGTCACCCCACTGATTC